TCTTTTATTTCCTCATGTTCACTCATGTGGCTCTCTGGCATTCACTAATGACTTATTATACAGATTTGTTATTATGCAGACTTTGTATCCTTGTTCAAGTCATCACGTTGTTTTTCGCACACAGTATTGCCATTTTAAGCTCCGCATTTATGACCTGGTTAATGTTGTAAATGACCTGCAGACTACTGCAGGTGGCAGTTCTCGCGAGGCTATGACAGTTCAGTTTGGAGAGGCAGAGGAGTTTTTTTTAAATGATATTATAATACAGGAGATTTACGGGAAAATACTAATACGGGAGGACGGCGGGAAAGAGAGGGTAAAATACGGTAGTTTCCCGGCCAAAACGGGAGACTTGACAGCTATGGTCCAAATCCCCCCACATACTCTGTGTGCATGGGGTCTGCATGTTCTTACCATATGTACAGCTTTTTTCCTGCAGGTCAAAGACAGATTGGTGAAGTGATATTGCTAAAATTGCCTAGTATATATGTACGTACCCTGTGAAGGACTGGCACTCTATCCATGGTGTCCCCCTAAACTGTAACTGATTTTAGTAGTCATAACATCTCTTGTGGAAATACCCACATGGATCAAATATGAAGATAATATATGCGATATTCACTACAAACACGGTATTTAAACTCAACGCTTGCCTATTCTTATGGTGAAACCGTAAGCAGAGACCTGGGCATTCCTAAGCCTGTGACGTGGATCGTTGGTGAAGCAGGTGGGGAATCGATTTAATACTCTGGAAGGATGATAACACTGTAGCCTTCATTCAGACGTAGAATGTAAGCAACTGCATGACAAATATATGTGTGCAACCCTTCAGAGAGAAATACGGGGCTAGAGCAGCACTGAAAAGTACACATAATAAAAATTATACCGCCATCTAGTGAAACAAATTTAAAAAGATTCATCAAAAGACTGCGTCCCTTCCAAGGCCGTAGCTTATAAACTACATCACTGCAATTTGAATTTCGGACATTGTCGATTCATAATTAGTTTTACTTCAGTTGGTCACTGAAATTAAGCTGTCCTCCACACACAAATCGCATCTTTACAATATAATATATACAATTTAATGGCGGCATGGTGTTGCAGTAGTTAGCACTGTTGCCTCACACCTCTGGGAATGTATGTCCATACCTCTGGGACCAGCACTTTGACTGCGTTTCAGGGCGCATGCGCCAAAACCATAAAAACGTTCTGACGTTAGTATGACGTCGGTCACGTGGTTCTATTGGAAAATGGCGGCGCTATAATGTGATTGTAAATACGACGGATAAGAAGAACTTAATACCAGCTTTATATATAAAATATTGTTTATCTTACGTTTTGCGACAAGGTACGTGATATTTAATGAAACATTAATATGTTTATTTGGACCCTCTTCAGTAAGCGTGATGTGGATGGTTTGTCTATACAGCAGTTCCCTGTTGGCAATATGCTAGACGAACGCTGCGAAAATAGATGAGCCCCTCTTAAAGTTTAGATGTCTTGTTACAGTTGTACCTTCTCAGAAATATTTTTTGTTAGATTATTACATGATGGAAATATATAGTTACATTATCTGCATAATGCTCTACTGGCACTGTAGGAGAATGTTATGGCTAAGGTGCTATTTATTATAACATGTATTTAGTCCGTTACAATAAATCTCTTATTTCAGAGACTGTTGGGAGTCATGCAGGAAAGTAGCGGAACAACTCAGGGGTCGGAGGGGTTAGTAGGGCTGGAGGAACCCAAGAAGATGACCAGGGAGGATTGGAGGAAGAAGAAGGAACTTGAAGAGCAAAGAAAGCTAGGAAATGCTCCAGCTGAGGTGGATGAAGAGGGAAAGTAAGTCTCTCTAAGAGGAGGATGTGGGCTGGATGGTAATGCCCGGAATCCTCTGACTGTGGCTCTGTGGCTGCGAGTGGACTTAGATGCCCGTAGAGGACTCTGCAATGAAGCGAGGGTTGTCGTACCAGGGTTGTCTTTATTAAATAAAATTATATATAAATAATCTTCTAACCTGTCCAGAGGCTGCTTTTAGGGGTAGATGTTTTTGTTGGAGTAGGTGAAAAGGAATCTAAACATGGGGATTAATAAAGCATCATTATTAAAGAAGTGCATCAAATTCTACTTGCAGTACCAGTCAAAAGTCTGGGCACACCTACTGAAAATCATTTGTTTTTTCGACTAGATAATGACCCTAAGCACACCTCGTGGTTATGTAGTAAATATTATTATTGTAAGGAAAGAGATGGAGTGCTGATATAACTTGGCCCCACAATTGCCCAACCTAAAATATAAAGCTAGTTTGGAGTGAGTTGGATCAATGAGTAAGAGCAAGGTAGCCAACCTGTGCCCAGAACTTGTGCCAACCCCTTCAGGACTGTTAGAGAAACATTCCAGGTGGGTACAGTCTGTAATGCTGTCATTAACGCAAAAGGGGGCTATTTAAGTCTAAAATGTATTATTTCATTGCCTCAAGTCCTTTTATTATAAGGTGAGTAGCGTAACACAACTAAAATAGAGACAAATGCATTAAAAACGGGGTGTGTTCAGACTTTTGGCTGTTGAAGAATTTGTATACAAGAGGTTGTTTTTGCTTTCTGTAAAGAAGACGTATTTTAGAAGTCGTTAGTATAAATACAGCTGGTGTTTTATCTTGATTTGTTTTTACTGTACTCTCTTAGCTGGTTGAGGCAGGCAGCTTCTGCCTGAGCCCACATTCTTGTTAGCTTCTATATCTGCTGCCCCAGTCCTTAACTTCTCCTCTTCCCATCTTCAGAGACATCAACCCCCACATCCCTCAGTACATCTCATCCGTACCCTGGTACATCGATCCCTCAAAGAGACCGACCTTGAAGCATCAGAGACCCCAGGAGGACAACCAGAAGCAGTTCACTGGGATTGGCGATTGGTATAAGAAGGGTGTGGTCGAGGTGAGACTCCTTAAATCTTGCTCCCTTCCTTCTCTCTCCTCCTGCTGAGGGGGCTGTACGGTGCAAGCTGAGTGCCCGCCTGACTTCTGAAAGTCGTGTTTGTCTTCCTGGAACAGAAGCCTGCTACCACAAAGTACCGGAAGGGGGCTTGCGAAAACTGTGGGGCCCTGACCCACAAAAAGAAAGATTGCCTTGAGGTGAGGAGGCGTAGGCTTTCATATTAGCATAAACAGATTTTGCTTCTATGGGACAGCAAAGCAGCAAGATGACTCTGAACAACTTACTTTGAAATGCTTCTGGTGATTAGTGCTGTCTGAAGTTGGTTTTGTGTCATGTGCATATTTCCCTCCCTATTCTTCACCCCAAGCGGCCTAGGAAGGTCGGGGCAAAATTTACAGGCATGGGAATCGCCTCAGACGAGCACAAACAGGTCCATCTGTTGTTGGACTATGACGGGAAGCGGGACCGCTGGAATGGCTACGACCCTGAGGAGCACATGCGCATTGTAGAGGAGTACGCCAAGGTGGACTTGGTGGGTGTTGATTATTACTACTAATATCATTCTAGTGCAACCAGCTTTTGTTGTACTGCCTATGCGTGAGTGCAGTGATTTGCACACAAACTACATGCCCCCATGTGCTCTCACAGGCGAAGCGCACTCTGAAGGCGCAGAAACTGCAGGAGGAACTGGCTTCCGGGAAGCTAGTGGATCAGGCGGTGAGTGACAATGTCCCCTTTATGCGTTCTGCTCTTCGATCAGAGAAGTGCCATTTAGAGAATGTGAAGCACTGGGAAATATATGATAGGCAGATTGCATTTAAATAGCTGGAAGTACAGGAATGTAAATAGGTAGTTCATTCTTCTTCTGCAAAAAATGTGAATTGACTATAATTGTTTACAGTTAATCTTTGTACAGAAGTTTATCTCAAAACTTTTGTCATCTGCTGCCAGGCCTTGTTCTCATTTTGTCGGGTTCATCATTTTCTGTTTATCTCTAGGCCTCATCCAGGAAGCAGTGGGATGAGGATGAACATGGTTCACAAGTAAGAGTTCTTAAATAAATAGCATTTGTTTGTGCCTGGCCCTCGATTGAGTAAAGTGAAAGCAGGTGCCGGTTGCTGGATGTTGGACAGATGTGAGGAAGACAGGAGTCATTCTCCATAGCTGGGGCTGCTGCCGTCGAATCTGCACTGTGGGGCTTAACTTGCTGAAGGCCGAAACATATGTAGTTAAGATGTCATTTTAAAGAGTTTAGAAAATGTAATTCTTTTAAGGATTTTACAGCCAGACTCCAGTAGTTATAACTTTGGGTGTATCCATTTTTCATACCGTCCTGCACATTCATAAGTTGTCAGAATATCATTGATTCTCTGCGTAAGTGATGTATCACTGTATTGTGTGAAGTGTTCACTTCTACTCCTAAGGATTTGCTGCATTGCGTCCCTGGACGACTTTCTGTATGTTGATTCTAAGATAGTTTGTGATCGGTTAAATCCATCCATGCAAACCATCTCATCCCCCCAGGAACGGGAGCACAACAGTGAGGACGAGGATGAGGACAAGTACGCAGATGACATAGACATGCCCGGGCAGAACTTCGACTCCAAACGACGCATCACTGTGAGGAATCTGCGCATCAGAGAAGACACAGCCAAGGTGAGATGACCGTCTCACAACTACAGTCAGAAAAGTGCATTGCTGTATCAGATTATTAGTTTACTTCTGTGTCCGTAGAGGGATGCATTTGTTTAGACTTTTTACAGAACATAACTGTTTGTTCTAACTTTCTGCACTTTACCCTTGTAGTACCTCAGAAATCTGGATCCCAACTCGGCCTACTACGACCCAAAGACTCGCGCCATGAGGGAGAACCCATATTCCAACACTGGCAAGAACCCAGAAGAGTATGTTCTCTTTCTATCCATATTCCTGGATTTGTAGCATCTTTAGAGTTGTTCTCAATCCTTTCTGCTGTCTTTGTTTCACACGGTAGGGTTGGCTATGCTGGGGACAACTTCGTGCGGTCCACTGGGGACACCGTCACCATGGCCCAGACGCAGCGTGAGTCACGCCTCCCTTGTGACATAAGCTTGGCAAAGAGACTGGGGGCCTGTGAATTAACGGGAGGATAAGGGATATGTCTGTGTCATCTGCCAGAGACAGTCGGGGTACAACCAGTCAAGTCTCACTTCCTGAGACTAAGCCTGTAGTTTGGGGCGTTAAGCTGTGATCACACAGCAGAATGGTAGAGTCGTCTAACTTTGGTGTGCTCCATGCCGAATCACACTCAAGCCATGGGATGAGTGAGCACCTTTCGTAGGGTGTGCGTTCGATGGGATGAAACGGGGGAGGAGGATGATTAAGCTTCTGGTCTGCTTGCCAGTGTTCGCCTGGGAGGCCTACGAGAGGGGCTCGGACGTCCATCTGCAGGCCGATCCCACTAAACTGGAGCTGCTGCACCAATCCTTCAAAGTAAAGAAGGAGGATTTCAAAGAGGAGCAGAAGGAGAGCATCCTCGAAAAGGTATTCCCTCTTCTCTCTGTTAAGCTTATTATAAATTTCAGTGTCTTCTGGGTATTTATGTTTTTTTTTTTTATCTGGTAACAGTACGGAGGTCAAGAACACCTGGATGCACCTCCGCGGGAGCTGCTCCTGGCCCAGACGGAGGAGTACCTGGAGTATTCCCGCCACGGTGCCGTACTCAAGGGTCTGGAGAAGGCCGTGGCTCGGTCCAAATATGAGGAGGACGTCCTCATCAACAACCACACCGTGAGTGCCTCAAGGCCACCAGAGGGGGGCAGTAGAGCTACTGCTGCATGTCCTCAGTTTGTACAAACGTAGATGTGGGGAGTCTGGAGTCGCTGCCTCTGACTGCACTAATAGGTTTATGTAATTATTCTGGTCAGATGCAGGCTGCATGCCGATGACACAGAAGGAAGTCATGTGTTTTTCTTTAGGTTTAACCAAAACTGTGTGTTATCTGCAGACAAACTGCTGTTTTAGAATCTGAATGAGCTGTTGGATAGGTGAAAGTAACAGATCGTGTCTGTGTTCCTTGTTGAACTTCAGTGCATCTGGGGGTCATACTGGAAAGATGGCTGCTGGGGCTTCAAGTGCTGCTTCTCGCTGGTGAAGCAGAGCTACTGCACCGGAGAGGGTGGCATTAAAACAGTGGTAAGCAAAGAGCGTACTCAGGACCATGTGGGCATGCTCTTAGCCACCATCAGCATTTTTCAGGGACTTGGAGCAGAAAAACGTTCAGTGATAGACGATGTGTTCTGGTGAGTCTCTGCATATCGATAGCTTACGTTTGTCTTCATAGCTTATTGCGATGAAAAGTGCGCCGTGATGGTGGGTGACAGTGACACGTTCCATCTCGAATATCCATGCAGAAGAGTGTGTCCTGATAGGTTGACTGAACTTCTCTTCCTCTAGAACTCCAACTGCACTCCGTTTGAGGAGGACCTGGAAAAGGAGGTTGAAGATGAACAACCTAAGACTTTGTTGGAGGTAAGTCCCTTTTATTGAACCTTTATCGCAGACAGGAACCCTATTTTTTTTGTTTAAGCTATTGTTCATCTTTTTTTCCAGTTAATTTTTTTTTTTATTACTTTCATTGTACTCGTGTTTCCACGGGACTTTAGTGAACTATGGGACATTTCTCTGTTGAGACGTGTACCTGCCATTTTGTCCCCCACAGATGCATCAGGAAAAGATGAAAGCGAAAAAGAGGAACAAGAAAAACAGGAAACGGGACTCCGACAGCAGCGACGACGAGGATGAGGCCAAGAAGAAGAAGAAGCTGATGAAGGTAAGGGGGGGACGTCTTCTGCTCTGGGAACCAGGCTGCCGTGCACCAAAAGGGTTTACTGTCATTCATGTAGATTTATCTCAGTTCTTGGACTTGAAAAACAAGAACTATTTACCACTTTTTTTTAATCCTTAATATGCATATTGTCAGTAAGATGTCTGAGATAATATTCCAGTAACCATACACTCTCAGAAAAAAGGGTAAAAATATGTACCTTTACTTGTTGCTGGGGCTGGTCCTTCAAGGGTCTGTCAATTATACCCTTAGCTGTAGGTAATTGTATCTTTTTAAGGTACAGAAATGGACTCTGAACATTTCTATATCATTAATGTACATTAATGTCGTTTGTACCTTTGGGATGTTCCTTGGAGTCCATTCCTGTACCTCAGAAGGTACAGTTACAAGGGTACTGCCCAAGGTCCATTCCTTCCTCGGTCTGCCCTGCAGCCCCTGTCCCCGGCGAGCTCCTCTCCTTCCTCGGCCTGCCCTGTAGCCCCTGTCCCTGGCGAGCTCCTCTCCTTCCTCGGCCTGCCCTGTAGCCGCTGTCCCCGGCGAGCTCCTCTCCTTCCTCGGCCTGCCCTGTAGTCCATTTCCCTGTAGCCCCTGTCCCCGTCGGGCTCCTCTCCTTCCTCGGCCTGCCCTGCAGCCCCTGTCCCCGTCGGGCTCCTCTCCTTCCTCGGCCTGCCCTGCAGCCCCTGTCCCCGTCGGGCTCCTCTCCTTCCTCGGCCTGCCCTGTAATTCATTCCCCTGTAGCCCCAGTCTCTGACCTTTCTCTGATCCTTACTTCTCTCAGGCCCTCACTGCAGAGGAGCAACGTCTGAAGCAGGTGGACAAGCTGCTGCAGGTGGATGAGCGCCGACGCCCCTACAACAGCCTGCAGGAAGTGAAGGAGCCCACTGAGGAGGAGATCGAAGCCTTCCGCATGAAGCGCAGCCGGCCCGATGACCCCATGGCCTCTTTCCTGGGCCAGTGATCAGAGATGGGGGCCTCTTTGGACCCTGATTGGCTAAGTGGTGCAAGGAATCCGTGCTTTTCATCCAGGAATCCTGGGGGTGTGCATTGGGAAAATGTGACATAGTTGTCTTTGCCGCAGTTGTCCATAATAAAAGTATTAGTAAATAAATCCATGTATTTTTGGCTGTCACAAACTACGCTAAACTGCATGGCGTAAGTGTCTTTTTGTAACTCATTCATTTTAATCTCAGTCCTGACCTTGTATGTAAATATTGAACATAACGGAGGATAAAACCTTGTCTATGTGTTAACACTCTTCTCCTCCTCCTCCTTCTGGTACAGCCCTGCTGTTGGAGATTCCATGTTTCCTAATCCTTGTGAGATTTCATTTCCCCGCAGATGTATTAATGCAGAAAGGGTTTGAAGGGACTGCAGCAGCTGTCTGGTTGGATATGTTTGCCGAGAGCGGAATGGCACTTAGTTTGCAATCGGACATACCTCTAAGAGTATGTCACAAAATTTATTGGGGGGGAAAAATGTAATTTAAATCTGCAACAATAAAGGGGTTCCGAACAAGACTGTAACTGTAATGATGCTCAAGAGAGTGGAGAGCATTAACTGGGGCCCATTTGGGATGTGGATCTGGAGTCTGAGAAGGAAGACTGGGGAGGGGGTGGGGCGTGACCCAGCCAGCGGTTTAGCTATCAGCTGATGGGAAATCTTAAGGTCCTACTACACTTCTGAGCCGTAATGCTAAATCCGAGAACATAACGGAGGAGAGATGAAGGACATGGTTTTCTTAGCACGTGCTGACTGTTCAGCGAAGGGTCTCCCTTTTTATGCCACTTGGCCTGTCTGCCTTTGGATGTTTCTATGCAGAGGGACTCGGTTCGTATCGCGACCTTAACGACGCCGCGTGCCCCTGAGAAACACGTGTCTTTAGTCATATAGGGGAATATTGAAATGTTTTTAAAAAGGTTTCATAAGCAAGTAGATAAATACTTCTGTATATTTTTTGTGTAAGATTTTCACAAATAAATGCATACGGTAATTCATTGAGTGGCGCATGTTTCCTTCTCGTTCATGTATTTCCGATGTTGTGATGTTTGATTCATTACGGCAATGGAGCAAGTTTGCGTCACAGATGAAATATTTCTTGGCGCAGATGGAGGGTTGCTGCATCGACAACGGATGGTGAAAATAAAGCTGCCTTAATGTCTTCATGTTCTCTGTGGGGACGTCATTTGTGCGAAAAGCTTATCACGCAGTCTAACAAAAGTTCGGGGGCATAACAGCAAGTTCGTCTCCCCTCTTCACAAGACGGATAAAACTGCAGATTGCGAGGAGTGAAGTTGGTGGTAAGATACTTTCCTTAATTAAAGTAATCTGTTTAGCCAGAAAAAGGCAGGGCTCTTGAGAGCGTACTTATAGTCCCACTTAATTGTTAAGACAATATAGACATTCGTATTCTCGTAGATCCGATTGTACGCCCATTTTCTGTGGGTTTAAAATTAGTTGTAAAACATACAAATAAATGCTAAATTTCACATATTATTGCAACATCTTAATAAGCATATTTCCCTTATTTAAAACGCGCAGTCCCTCTTTTTAACGGAATCATCCTGTAAAAATGTTTCGTACGTTTTTCAGCAGGATATGTTTACTTAAGCAGTAGAATATCAGGAGTTAGGCCTATTTATTTTAGACTCAATATTTGTCTTTATCTGAGCATTGCGATTATAGCGTTCAGATATAGAATGTTCATTGTTTTCGGACGTATGATCATCTTGTACACTGACGCTATATCCAGTGCCGTTCACATTGTGTCGTTTTTTCCCTTTATCTATAACCTACCGTTTATCCGATTATCATTGCCGCCGACTTTCCCTGACACCCTAGTCGCATTGCTTTTTACGTTTGCCTGCCCTGCTTTGCCTAACCAGGTGGGATCATGCTCCCGCTGGTGCTTCTGGTCTCTATGCTGTCACTCACCTGCCAACAGATGGCGCTTCCTCCCTTTAAAAAGGGCCGGAACTTCACCATCCATTCCTCCCAGCTGGCGTGCAGCCTCCCCGGCCCCCAGGGCCCCCCCGGCCTACCCGGAGCCCCGGGGCTCGCCGGCTCCATCGGCAAGATGGGCTTACCCGGAAAGGACGGTCCGGATGGAAAGGATGGGAAGAAGGGCGAGAAGGGAGACAGAGGCATGTTCAGCACTTTAAATGAGTGAAGCATGTGCTGTATGGTAAATTTAAACCTTAATATCCATTTCAGTAAAGAGGACTTACCTGACATGATAATTACTGTCATGACTGTGTGAGCAGGGCTGTGACACAGGATTACTGCAGTTAACAGAAATACAGGTAGTCCCCTAGGTAAGAACGTCCGACTTACGGACAACTCCTGCTTAAGAAGGGACTACCATAAAGCCCATTATGGTAATGGGCTAAATATGTACAATGGTTCATAATAATAAATGCTCGCACTACTTAGTGAGCTCGTAAAAACATTGCAGAACTTCAGCGGTCCGTCGGCTCAAGGTACAGTACCGTACCATATGTAGCTACTTTTATTATTACTGTATAATAATTTATTATTATTATGTATTGTATTATTATTTTTCTAACTTACCTGCAAATTTGGCTTAAAGAGAGGTTTAGGGAAAGATCTGCCTGTATAGAAGCGGTGACTAATGTATAGTTTTAAAAACAGGAGATAACTGATGTATGCACCCCCCCCCACAACTCCCAAAGGTGAACAGGGCAGACCTGGAAATCCTGGGATACCTGGTATCAAAGGCCGTCAAGGCGTGATAGGCAAGGCGGGACCCAGGGGCCCAAAGGGGTTACGTGGGGCCCCAGGTCTCGCAGGGGTCCGTGGAGAAAAAGGCAAGGCAGGAGATGACGGGCAAGCAGGGGTCCCAGGGGGCTGCAACTGTGGGACCAATGCAGCACGCTCTGCCTTCTCCGTGGCCGTGACCAAGAGCTACCCCAAAGAGCGCCTGCCCATCCGATTCAACCGCATCCTGATGAACGAGGGTGGTCACTACAATGCCAGCACTGGCAAGTTCGTCTGCGCCATTCCTGGCATCTACTTCTTCAGCTATGACATCACGCTGGCCAACAAGCACCTGGCCATCGGGCTGGTGCACAACGGCCAGTATAAGATCAAGACGTTCGACGCCAATACGGGAAACCATGACGTGGCCTCTGGCTCCACAGTGCTCCGTCTGAAACGTGGGGACCAGGTCTGGTTGCAGATCTTTTACTCGGAGCAGAACGGACTTTTCTTTGACCCATACTGGACTGACAGCCTCTTCACCGGATTCCTCATTTACGCCGACCAGGATTTTCTTGACAGAGGGGATGAGAAGGTCACTACTGGACCTGTCTGATTGACACTGCCAATCTGTCAAAGTGAAAAATCTTAGTCAAAAATCTAACTCATTTAATTAGATATCCATCCATCTATCCGTCATCCATAATAGACCATATCCCAGTAGGAGACACCCTGGATGGGATGCCAGTCTATCACAGGGCACAGACACACACTCTCAATCACAGAATGGGCAATTTGGAGTTCCAAGTATATCTAACTGCATGTTTTTGGATTGTGTGGAATCCCCAGAGGAAACCCACTCAAACACTTTAATGTATTAAACAGCTAACAGTAATTCTGTGCTATTCTTTTTATTCCTGCTTTTCCTGCTCTCTCTGACTCAGCTGTTTTGTCTGTGTTGTCAGTGTGAGTGACCCAGTTTCACTACGTTCTGTGACCCAAATACTGGAGCATTAAAGCTGTCAATACCACATTCACGCAGCTCATAGTGACCCGTTTCTCTCACTGATTACCATTTTTGCTCTTCGGGGAACATTTGTTGACTTATTTGTGGTTTACATTGCATCTCAGATGCATGCAATTCAGGTTTTTAGAGCTTAGCTGCAAAAATTACGAGACATTTCTTGTTCAGACACAACCCGACTTTGACAGCAGATGGAGCCAAATCTCATCTTAAACATTCAAAATTTATTACATACGTGTTTATAATGGCTGTTACAGTGCAGCTTTTCGCCATCATCATATCTTATTAGTTACTGCCAGGATACTTTCAAATACTTTTGACAATTTTGTTGCTAAAATATATTGCATTTAGCATAAGGTTATACAGTATATATTATTAAGATATAATAGCTTTTTCCGAATTCCTGTTTAATCATAATAATGGAAATGAAATATTTACATGGAACAATAATTAAATTATTAGACAAATTTACTTAATAATAAAAAAAAGTTTGAATGGTGCGGTCATCACTTGAGAACTACAACTCCCAGAAGCAACCAGTGTCCAGCCTCTCGCCGCCTCCCCCTTGTGCAGGTTCACCAGCCCTGGAGCTCCACACCACAGTAGCAGCTGGGGTACTGATACTACTCCGCTGCCGGAGAGCGTCAGGAAAGACTGCTGTGGGGGTAATCGGGGGAAAACGCCAAAGCATCCTGATAGATCCCCCTTCAGAGAGTTTTGGACCCGTTGGAGTCGTTATAGACGGGAGGGGGCCTCGTCTTCCCGGATTATTCCCCTTGCGCGGGTATAAAGAAACTTCCAGCAGGATTTGTAAATTCAGGATGTCGGTGTGAAACAAAGGGGTCCGGAGCACTGTTGTCTGAGTGGTAAGGGTATTTCTGCTCGCATATCTGCAATATCCTTAATGCAATGATTTTGTGAGGAGGGATACGTCAAGTGAGAGGCTCTGATTGATGAAAACACGGATTAGCCGGTGATCGTGAAATAGGTGGTTAATGAACTGGGTAGGACTGTAACGGTGAGCTTCGAGTGGTGCGGCACGGACGCCGGTGGAGGGGTAACTATCACATGGAGCACGCAGGATCACGCCTCGTTGTTGCTAAAACACGATCAAAGCACGGCCGCACTTCGGGGGACCCTGAACCCCCCGCAGGTTCCTCTGTACCCCGTTACCCCCAAGAGATTAACACGCGTTGAACTGCAGAAAAAGTTTTCTATAATATGACATGTATAACAGCGATCTGCGCACGGAAAACATCGCGGCGCCTGGTGTGGGAGTGAGAGGCTGAAAACAGCCCAAATATCTGATCTGTGACCCGTTACCGTATAAAAATCACTTTTAAAACCCCAAATACGCCCTGTAGTAGTATTAGCGGAGTGGAAATACTGTAGGGAACCACGCGATCGACTTTTTAACCGCATAAATGTTTAAAAGGCTTTTCAGACAGCTGAAAGGAGTTTTAGTTAAATTGTTGCTTTTCTAGCATTTCGTATTTGACGGTATGGGATATTTAAGTTTGTTCAATACAAAAACACAACAAAGTAACATTTTGGATTGACTTGCCTACATTCATCTTCATGGAAACTTAATGGTAGAAGTATGAGAACGTAGGTTAATGAGAATGCAGAGAAATGGGGAAAGGGGCCGTTGTGGGGTCTCTAGGACAGTGTCTGTTAAGTGTTATGTGGTTAAAATGACCGGAACCGGCCGGTGAATTGAACCGAGGTGGGGGTGTCCACCCCGGGTGGGAAATGTCCGAGCCCAAATCCCCTTTGATCTTGGCAGGGTACGATTGCGTCCTCTTCGCCTGCTCTGGATGGGAAAGATGGAAACGGAAGGGCAGTGGTGGAAAAGCCAGCTCGCAGCTGACATCCATCAAGCTCTGCGCGTCAAGGTGAGTCCCGCTTTTATAAACGGTAATCCTTACATCATGCTTTTTGTTGTCGAGTAGGGAAACAAGATTAATTGGGTGGCAGAGGGTGGGATGCTTGTATATGGCTCCGTGCGCCTTTGATGTGGAGGTGTGAGATGTGGCGTGCGTCTATCAGCCCGTGATAACATCTGACTCCTCCGTCTGCGGAAATGTGAGGGAACCGTGGATCAAACGCATACCTTAACACTCAAAGACTATCCTGCTGTACATAACTGCTAACCTTCTCTTTGACACCACATTGTTATTCCTTTGTTTCCAAACCTCATGTAACTATGCAGTTACCAGCACAGACGTCTGCTTGTACAGTTTTTGGATATATTGTCTCTGAAGCTCAGGTATCAACACACTCCTAATCGTTGTCTTTATGTTGCTATGCTCTTATGTGTATTACTACCTCTGGGACAGATCCCTTTGGATTAACCGTCCAACGTGCTTGTAGAATAAGTGGGATTCTGATTCAGCTTTAAACGCCCTGACAGTCTGGTGGATAACACTGATGTTGTGTCATCGTGGTGTATGGTTGGTCTTGTTGGGTTGAAGGTGACCTTGATTGACTGATTTGTACCCAGCAGTGTGTACCTTGGCCCAGTGTTGTTTGCTTTATAGTTGTTGTCCTTTATTCATACGCTAAGCGGCGCTAACTGTTGGTCCCCTTGAGTTTCACATCGTCTAGATGCATCTACCCAGGTTCCCTCAGAGCCTGGCCACTGTGTGCCTGATTGCACGCTGAAGGCCCACTTAGACAGTCCCTCAGAATATCAGGGGAAGCAGCTGAGAAGTCTGTGCTGATCTAGCAGGGCTTGTGGGCCTCTCGCTGGGAGATGCGATGCCATAACTGGTAAATCCTGGGCCCTCGACTGCCTGGGGGCGAGGCGCCCTCGGGCTAAGTGTCTCCCCTGGGGCCTGCCGTCACCTTGCTCTACTGCCGGCTGTCGTTATAGGATCCTGCCCCGTTTGCAGCGGGTCTGCGGGGAGCGCCTAAAGCCGGCCCAGGTGACGCCGAGCCACTGGCTCTTATCCCGGCAGATTAATCCTGACCGGAGTGTCTCTGATAAAGGGCGTCAGAAGGTGATAAATGTAGAGAACAGCGGCTGAAAAGCTGCCGAGGCCGTCTCGAGGCCGTGCACGGCGGATAGTGACGCATTCACGTCTAGCAGCTGTAGGGCGAGCGTGCGGTCATTGTACGAGCGCCGCGTCGCACGGGACGAATCCTGCGGTCCCTCAGTAACACGCTGACACACTGCACAGTCTCTCTGGAGAATGAGCCCTGCCATCATCATCATAATCATCCCCTTGGTCACAAACGCAGGCTTTCATGCGAAAATACTACACTCTTTGTTCCCAGTATCAACTACTGGGATGTGAATAGAGCTTTTCAGAGGATGGGAAGTTTTTTTTTTTTTGGCATTAACCTTAAATTGTTGCCCATGGTTCCAGTGACGCCGAGGCTTATTGGAAACTCTGGAGCAGTTGGGCAGTGAGATCAGCTGCTGCTTTCACCTGTTTCTCGTTTCTGGTGGGGGTGGGTCGTGCGAAAGTGGAGGTGAATCCGCGCTCCAGGTTTTCTTTAAGAGGGCATTGAGCATTGGGCTGATTTTATTGGTGCGTGGGAGTCAAGCATTGGGATGGTGATGAGTAATTTATGGTGTCTGCATGTGTGTTTTTTTTTGGGGGGGGTGACTGTGTTTGTGTTTGCTGTCGACGTTATGATGCCTTCCTCCAGACGGGGAGAAGCTGTCTGCTTTGAGACAGGGTGGGGGTGGCGTGAGAGTGACTGAGCAGTTCAGGGACACAGGGCTGTGTTTGCTGTGAAGGTGGGGGGGGGGGTGAGGACAGTAATGGGAAGGAG